AACTTTTTATTGTTGTGAGGTCTCAATAGATGAAATTCAGATTGAAAAATAGTTCTGTCTGCAAAACATTCAGATTTGTACAGTTGTCACATGATGACAAATTAATATGTTTTTTATTCTGTGGCTTTTAAGTAGCTAAACTGAAACAAATTGCATTATATTTATTAAATACCTTTATGGAGAAGAATAGTTCTATTTGGTACAAAAGTATAAAATAAATTGATCATTTGTTTATTTTATTCTTTTTTTCAATAGTCTTTTTAAGTAGTGTCAGCTTTTAGAAATGTTTTTCAAAACATTAACATTCCTTTTTTTGTGGCATGAATTTGTATCTCTTCAATGAACAGAATATGTTGATCTAGAAATTTGGGAACTTTGCTTAAAATAACTACAAATTATATTGCTGTTTAAAACAGACCTGAGATCTGTAACAAAGTGCTTTGGGGGAGGCCCATTAGTGCCTCTGAACTTGGTGCACTCACAGGGAGGATCAGGTAAGACCTAGAATGAGTGAAAATAGTTACATCTTGTCACATTTGGGAAAGGAGGAATAGCCACAGTTGGCCTTGCACGATGGATAAAATATGTCCTATTCTCTTCAGTTATATTGGTCCCTGAATCTTAATCGGTTACAGTTCTTCCTGATCCTCTGCAATTATTGCTGAATCAGTACAAGCAGAATCTTAGAAATTTAGATTTAGTTAGAAAAAGATTATTTTAGATTGTATATCATATATCTCATGATTTTTAAGCAGCAAAATAGCTGCTTATTTTTCTGTACACTAGAGCCATGGTGATTTTTCTTTTGGTTCATAATAGCAATCATTTTACATATTGTGTTAAAGTGACCGAGATGTTTCTGTAGAACTCTTAATAAATATTCTAGACAGGATTTATAGTATTTCCATTTGTGGTGGTGAAATAAGGCTATTCCTTTTATAAATTTTGCTCTTCAGGAGTATGTATGAATAATTTAGTCAGGAGTCTAAGCTTTTCATATATTGCCACCTGCTCATTATTCAGAAATTTTAGTTAGTCTGCTGTTGCCCTAGCAACATACTCAAAATTAGTGTTGCATCTATGGAAAGCTTTTGTTTATCTAGCAAAGCCCACTATCCAATCTGTATTATTGCAGGATGTATTTTAAGTGGATACTCCTAGGTTTTAGCCATAGGTTTTTTTTTTTTTTTTTTAAAGTGACATTAATTGAAATTTGTTATCTCTGTTTTTTAACTGTTCACAAATATTGATAGTTCTTTACTTTCCAAAAAGAATTCTGAAGTGTCTTAACGTCTGTGTGTAGTAATACCACTGTAATATCTTTTTTCTCTCTCTGTCTCCTGCCCTTCTCTCAATTCCATCCTTTCCCTCCTGTCTTTGTGCTTGTGGGGTTACCATTAGCCAAAGAGGAAAGAATAATTCCCTCTTCAGAGGTTTTGAAGCTATTAATGCCATAGCTAAAAGAAAACTCTCCTATAGCTTCAGTTGAAGCTCCAAGTTGAACATGTCCATCTTACAAGATACACCAATGCCATTTACTTCTGGAACAATGTCTATAAGTAGAGCTGAAGTTCTGGAATTTTTGAAGGGAGAAAAGTAAGTTGTGAAAATATACCACATTTCAAATCCTCTGTATTGACATACAGCAAGAGAAAAGCCACAATCCACTTCCTAGCTTTTTTTTGTTTTTGTTTTGTGGCCCATACCCACCTTTTGCATTGTGTTGTCCCTTGCTCAGTTTCCCCCCAGAGTTTCTCACCTTCTCTTTCTGTGTGGGTAGCAGGTAACCCATGCCAGCTCTAAAGGCATCTTGTTGTTCCTGCCTTATCTAATCAACATGTTGATTTTCAGATTGCCTAAATAGTAACAAAGGTTTTCTACTGAATTAATAAACCATAGTCAACCTTTACTTCTACAAAAGTATTTATTTGCAGACTTTCGAGTCTCTTCCTCTGAAGCACTAGATGAGGAGTTTGAGTCCTTGCATGTGTGCGTGTGCATGCACGTGTATGTACTTCCTGACACAAAAGGATGCTGGTAGCCATTACTGCAAGTCTGGAATGTTTTAAGGCTATACAAGGCTGTAAAGAGAGTATAGTTAGAAAGGACGTCTTGGAAGTCACAAGCTTTCCAGAAGGTACTATTACTATTTTCACGAAACATCTGCTTTTGGTTTATAGTGATCTTAAGGATATTTGATCTTAAGGATTTTTAATCTTGGCATCTGATAACTGGAGACTTCTTAGATATGAGGTTGTGGAGAAGTGCAGTAAAGAATAACTGAAGCGAGTTATAACTGTGAGATTGCGCGTACATTGCTCTTGCTGTATTCACGGTGTAGCTTCCTGCTCTCTTGGTTTTTAGGCATCTGATATCTGAAAGCATATTCCCAGGCTCACAGTTGTTTAGAATTCTTTGGGTGATAACGTAACAATTTGAAGTCAGCTTCCCAAACACAGATTTTTACAAACATGAGAAAAGGTCTGTTGTTTGGGTTTTTGTTATTTCTGGTTTCTGGGGGTAGATGTTATTGTTTGGACACTTCTATTTCAGCTGTGCCTTTGCAGAAATGAACACTAGTTTTGAATAAACATCTTGCAGGTCACTATTTCCGCTCACTTGTTAGAATCTGATGGTCACTGAAACTTTTTGCTGGGATAGACAAATGCTTAGTTTTATTAGTAGCCAAGCAATGTCTTTACCAAAAAAACTTTTATCTTCCCAGCTGCCTAAATTTGAAAGCCCTGTATGAGTTGGCCATGCTTTCTAAATGAGATGCATGCAAAATCAGTACATTGTAAAGAAAGGTTATTTGTACACCCTGTACCTCATGGATACTGGCTTTCATTTCACAGGGGAGAAAAAAAAAAAGTGAGATTTGGGAGTAAAATAATGGTGGTGAGGAGAGAATATCCAGTGCGACAATACAAGTTTGCTCTGGGAGCTGGTACTTAAAGTAGATACTGTAATTAACAACAACAAAAAAAATCCTGTTCAGCATATGAGACTTTCATATATCTGCCCCCTGCTGTTTCAGTCGGCTTATTCAGCTACTTCTGGAGAACAAGAAGTTGGGTGAGAATGTACAAATGGAGACTGTTTAGAATAGACTGAATTTTAACTTTCTCTTGAACTGTAGTTTCTATAAAGGTATGAATATAAAGGCAAACATACCTTGTTTGTTAGGCTTGCATTAGACTGCTATTCTTGAGACTAAACTTACGTTTAGTTTAAGTTTTTCCTTTATATTTTATCAACAAGGAAACGGGTTAGAACACCTACAGAGAAATTATGAAGGCCTTGAAAGGCTTTTAAAAGACTTATTTTAGACTTCACAGAATGAAGGAGAATGGTTGGTAATATGAGCAGCTGGGAGTGGAAGGAGAGCAAGTTACAGTGATAAAGTTCATCTGACAAAACTGAGTAACTGACTTTGGCCTGGTGATATATTCTCTTTGCTGGTTTTGCACACTGTTTAATATGAGGCTTTTCTTGATTGTTTGCTTAAACTGCGGAAGCTCTGCTTTATTTGCTTTATTAATCAGCAGGGTTTTCTCTAGATTCCTGAAGAAAATCTGTAGTTCAATGTGATCTGAGTAGTTCTTATTCCAGCTTATGAATTTAGAGTTTATACTCACAACACTACTTTTTTTTTCTTCCCCATCCCTCTTCATTGATCATGACCTTAAGGACCAGAATTTATGAAATTTATGACTACTTAATAACTGTAGGATTTTCTCCAATAAAATTTGTTTTCTATTGAGTCTTTCTCTTCCTAAGAGACAAGACTTGAATCACCTGGTATGGAAGGAAGACAGAATTTATCTTTCAGTGTCTTAGTCATCTTGTGTTCCCAAAAGCATTCTTTCCATGCTCTTAGTAATACCTTCTTTTGATAGACGCTTTTTCTTTCTTCTTCGAAAAGTCTTGCCATATGAAGGTCCTTTTATAGAAATTGTAAATGGGTAAATATGCCATGTATACAACACTTGTAATTCTGGCTATAAGTAAACATCTAGTTTTCCAAAGCACTTATCTAGTAAATCATTATAAGGAGTACTGGGAAAGATTTTTTTAAATTTAATATTCTGTGGATGCCAGAAGTATTATTCCCATTTATTTAATTCCTAACATACAGAATTTAGACTTTTTATTTATAGTCTGTCATGGACAATCATTCCCACCAAATGGATATTTGCTTATTTTGTGTCTGTTGTCCAGAAGACACTTGAAATGTAATTGCATTTAGTCTTTAAGGCGATCTGTGCATAGTCAGTGTTTTGGAGTTGCTTAAAAATTTATGCCTTTAGCCTAATGTCTTCTGTATTTAGATCTGTGCATCATTTTGTTAAACTTTATAGCAATGCCTAATTGGTAATCAGTTTCTAAACAGTAGTAAAAATGATTTTTATATACTAGTAACGAACTAGTAACAACAATCAACTAGTAACAAACAAACAACATTTAATTTCTTCGAACAAAAAAAAGAACAGGGTAAAAATGATTTTTATATACTAGTAACAAACGAACTAGTAACAACAAACAACTAGTAACAAACAAACAACATTTCATTTCTTCGAGCAAAAAAAAGAACAGAGACAGACTTATTGTAGCTTAATCATTATACCTTTTAAACCGATATGGTGGAAATGAAAATTGCAGGACTTCAGGAGTTGTGCTCTTTTTTGGAAGAGAGGCTTTTTAAAGTAAGATCACAGGAACTAAATACAGAGTACCCTGAACAGAAAGGCCTGAACAGAAAGAAATAACTTTATCTGTACCCTTAGGTAAATTACATTTGTCCAGTGGAATATCTTGATACTTATTAGCAGTTCAGTAAACGCAAAAAACAAGCATGGTAAAGTGGATAAAATTCATTGTATGGTCAGAAATACAGTTCATGCAGAACCTATTATGTTTTGTAGATGTGACAGACATTGCTAATGCTGTCTCCCTTGAACAATTTCACATTTAACTGAGAAAAGTTGTTCTCGTTTTCTTTTAGGTTCATAGATGAACTTCATTTTGCAATTCTGGTAAGTATTCCATTTGACGTAGCATCCCATCCTGATATTTTTTTTTCCCCCCCAAATAATGCTGCTTTGGGGAATTTGTGGAGTTCTTCTCGTTTTAATTTGCTTGTTTTTGTTTACCTCTTTCTTCAGTGTTATCTAGGTCAAGAAGCTTGTTTTTTAAACTCTTTTTTTTGGTCTTGGAAGAATTCATTGTTTTCTTTCCTCAGGCTTCCTGCTAAAACCAAAAACTATGGGTAAAATCTCTTAATTTTAGCCTTGTGCTTCCTTTAGAAGTTTGCGTGCCTTTTTTTCTGTCCCTGGAATATAAAAGCCTGTGAACATCACTTTTTTTTTTTTTTTGAGAATGGATCCCTTGTGTCTTAAATGATTGCATATTGCAGAAATACTAACATCTGTCTCACCAGTATATCTGATGTAACAGAGCATGCTATCTTTTTGCTTTTTTGGCCAATTTAGTTTTTGTCTGTGCAAATGCTTAAATTGGCATTTTCTTTAAGACTTAATTCAGGCAGTTCAGTCCCCTTTGACCATCAGATGCCCATTTTGAGCCATCTTGTGGGGTATTTTGGCCATGCATTGGGTTGCATAATATAGCCATAAATAAAAAAAAGATGAAAATAACAATTTTTTATAATCACCTAGTTGTACTTATTTTTTCAGTGCAACTAACATAAAGGATTTTCTTTTAAGAGAGGTGTTTTGAAGTGGCTGAGGGGCATATCATCACTCTTCATCTTTAAGGAGCCTAGAGAATCTTTTCTATTTAACGAGCATCTGATTGCTTGACAGATGGTTTCTCTCTTAAATACGTTCCATGTGTTCGATGTGTTGTGCTTTTGTATAGCTTTAAATTTAAATTGAATTGAAACTCTGATATTTGCATATCTGTTGCTGAGATTAAAATGCCTGTTTTGTCAGATAGGATATGTAATTGAGTGTTTGATAGCACATAAAACTTCCACATGTTTCTAGCTGAAGATCAACTAGCTCGAAGTCACTAATGCACTTGTAGGCACCAAGCACTCCAACTCCTGTTCCCAGGATATAAGGTTTCTAATTTGTCAAAAGCATATTCCTTCTGCATGTTGTCTTAGTTAGAAGTCTTACAGACATTATTCTTACTGTACATTCAATTCAAACTATTTTCCCACCACACATGTTCTAATGAGTTACGTCTATATTCTTTTGCACATAGCTGAGTTTGGCATATCTGTATGAAGACATGTATAAAGCTGTAGATGCAACATCAAATGGCCATCTATGCAGTGTGGGTAACTTGTTTCCTGCGTAGTTTTTTTACTAAGTTTAAAATTCTTTCCCATCTCTTAAAGAGAAATATTGATCATTGTTATCATTGGTGGTTTTCCTACGGTTTCATCATCGTGCTTGTAAGCAAGCCTCCATGTGAAGGAATTAGAAACATTGTCTTTTGCAGTTATCATAACTAGATCTACATTTTGAGATATTCCACAATAGGCTGCCACTCTCTCTCCTCTTTTCCTTTCTATTTCATTTCCTTCTCACTTCACCCTTCTTTCCTCATCTCCCACTGTAATAAAATCTGCCACCAGAGAGCATACCTTCCTGCATCAATCTATATGGAACAGCAGTAACTGTATTTTGATGTACTTTGAATGAGTAAGCTAAACAAATGTCTTAATGAGTCCTGTATAGGCATTATCAAGATCAAAAACACGTAGCCTGCATCTGTGAAGCTCTGGCGTGGAGCTGAATCAAAGAAATAGCTGGTTTGAGAGGTAGTATGAGGAGGTACAGTCAGTAGGTACCTCCAGCCTGGTGTATGCAAGGAAGACCAGCTTTTCCAGGAAGCTGTCACCTTAGATAAAGGAAGAAGTTTAACACCTCTTTCTGTGTGAACCCACTGGTCAGGGATGGCAGCTGAGATGCATGGAGTGTGCTCTGCTGACCTTTGCAGCCAGGTGGTTTGGAGGATTTGAAGATGCAGCACAAAAGGGAAGAGATGAAGAGAATAATAAATGTGGGAATATTTAGAAATGTCATGGACTGAGCAGTCTTGGCACCAAAAAAGCTATTTCGCCTTTCCTTTGTCACACAAATATATGTCCTGATCACCTATTTACCAGGATTGACGGTCTTCCAAGATCTTACCCCCCCATTCTGTGGAGTCTCCAAATGAGCAGTGGTGCCCCAGTTGTCATGCTAGCCTTACTTGGCATGTGTGATTCTTCTGAGAGGTCGTTAGAAAACTGAAAAGTAAGGACTATTCTTCTATAGTTTGACAATTTAGAATAATCTGAGGATTATTCTCCTGAGCATCATGATAGTGCTAAATGTGAGATGGTGTTAGTTTCTCATAGACAAGAGAGCTATAGATCTCTGGTATAGGTTTCGAAAGTAAATTAGCATATCACGTGATTGTCTTTTTTTACTTTAGAACTGGTCTGACTCTTTTAGAGAATGTGAATGGAGAAAGTCAATAAAATCTGTACAACCATTTTATAGCACATTTATAGCTTCACAAAGCTTTTGCATCGTGTGCTTGGGAATTGCTAACGAAGAGCTCTAGGCAGGCTCTGCGCGTTCCGGTGGCTGGTTTGGGCTCATGGCATTGCGGTGCCCAGCTGATCATTTCCTCTGTCTTGGTGCTTTGGCAAGTGCCTCAGCTGTCTGCTTGAGCACAGCCCTACAAGTGCCCAAGTGATCTGCTTGGTGTGTTTGTGCAGTGAGCTCTCCGAGGGAGCAACACAGAGCCCTGAGCACTGCGGGAGGTATTATGGAAAGCACATCTTCAGTAATTCCACATAATGAAGCAAAATGAGTGTGATGCAGATATGTGATAACTCTGTTTTGAGAATATTATTTTAATATTCCATTTCAGGAGTATAACATCTATGGACATCTTTGCATTTTTTTTTTCTTCGCCAAAGCTGTTTTAGACCTAATCAGTTAGCATAGAGATCATCAAAAGTCTTTTTTTTTTTTTAGTGACTTTTTTATAGTGACTTTTAAAAATAGTGCTTTTCTCTTACCCAGTTAAATATTTTTGCTATTTTTTACTTACTGAATACTTACTGAATACTTCTAGCTTTGGGGGGATGATTGTAAAGACAAGACAGTTTGCTTTGGTTATGAGAAAAGAGGGGATTGTCTTTTTTTTTTCTTTATTATGTTTGTTATCTCCATTCTAACGAGGAAATATTTTAAGATTAAAATACTTCCTTTTTAAAGACAGTAAGATGTTTTGAACTGAAGAATAACCTTCAAATGCATGTTTTTTACTGCAGGTTGCATAATTTTTTTTTTATTTTGTTCTTATGCCAGACAGTTTTTTGTATTGTCAGATTCGCCATGAGATAATGAGTGTGGGTTTTGTGTGTGCGTTTTTTGGCAGAGGTGGATGTTTGTTGCAAATCATGACAGTTGATTTCATCAAGATCAAGGTCGTTTGCCTTTTAAAAACAAGTTGGGCACTGACAAATCTACCATCAGAGATGTTATAGCTTTAATATAGACCATACAAAAATTCACTGCCAAAGAACTGTATGGGGTTTTTTTTCTATGTTAAGTAATGAATAGCACATCAAATTTTGCATATCAGTATATCTAATTTGGATAATCCATAAGCTTTATTTAAAAACAAAGAAAAAACCTACCAGCTGAGATATGTTTGTGTCTAATCTGACAGCACAGATGAAAGTAGTGATATTGGCCCATGGAAAACTGAACGTGTGTTGTCAGTTTGTGGTGTCAGGTTACTTTAAGATGCTCATTGTAATTTACGCTTTTGCTCCCTAACATTTTTTGATTGCATACGTAATCTTTAGCATCCATGGCCCTCAACATAATCTTTCATCTGTCCTGTTAACTCTAGAAGCCTATTTCTTGACTTTCTTCTCATTTAGAAGCAGCTTGACAGGAGGTAAGAGTAATTTCTCTGCTCTCAGGTTTCTCTGAATGATGTGAGCTACGCCATCAAAATCTTTTTGTTGCTGCACTTGCTTCTCTAGCGCTTTTGTTGGTGCAGTGGTGTCAAGTGAGAAGGGTGTTCATTTTTCATACCCCAAGCCAGCAGGACTACGCTAGCAAGAATCTAAAGACAAGCCATGTAGTATTTTATAAGCATTTCTAAGTAGTTCTTTCCTTGTACCTTTCTAGACATGCACATCCTTTTTGAGAGGAGAGGCTCAGTCACTCAATATATGTAGTTCCTACTAACCTAATGCTTCACCGTTTCTGAAATGCATACCTTTTTCAAAGGTTAATGCTATAATATTGTTCAGGCTAAAATGGCTTTTGCATTCCACAGTAAGTTGCACTGTGCAGATGCTTGCCAGCAAAACAATGATACTAAAAAGTGTTTTCAATGAAATGTCATGGAATCTTTCAGAAATCTTTTCTGTCTTTCTAGCCTTTTCTCTCCCCCCCCCCCCCCCCCCCCCCCAAAAAAAAAAAAAAAAAAAAAAAAAAAAAAAGAGAACAGATCTTAAAGGTGTTGCAATCTTAAAAAGTGCTTAAACAGTTTACCGCTGCTTTAGTGATGATTTGACTGTCTGAATGAGAGGGGGCTAGCCTCAAACTTGTTTTACAATATCAGAATTTAAGTTTAAATAGAATCTACTGAAATAATATGTATTGAAAATTGGGGCATGAACTCTGTTGGTCTGTCAGAAGAGCGAGCTCTGTTATTGATGTTGTGTTGTTCCGCTAGTCAAAACAAGGATTGTATGTTTTAGACAACATCCTAGAATGCAGGCCTTAGTTGTCTGCCTTTTTTTTTTTTTTCTTTTTCTTTTTCTTTTTCTTTTTCTTTTTTTTTTTTTTTTACAAAAAGTGTGTATTTTGGTGGTGTACCAAAAAAAAAAAAAACTGTAAGCCCATTAAATCTAACAGTAGGGAGGGTGGCACTGAAAAAAGCAGCCTTAAAGGAAGCTCTTTCACATCTTAGATTTTTAATGATGAGTATATCCTTAAGACGGTTTCATTCACCGTGAGGAAGCCAGGTGAAGTTGTTCATTTCC